GTTTTAACGTCCAAAATTAAAAAAAAAAAAAAAAAGAAAAGAAAAAGAAAGAAAGGAATAATGGCTCTGGAATGGTTTGTGGGAGCCCAAAGCATTAAGACCATCTGCCTACACTGGAGAAAACGGTTTTGCCCCCAGTGCCCATACGCCAGGGACCCTGGTGAGCAGGCGGGATGCCGCCTCCCGTCAGCGTGTGCTGGAGGAGCGAGGGCTGCTCGACCACAAAAGTTTCCATTGTACGCTTGCCACATCTGCAGCAGCCCGCCTGGTTCGGGGCCCGAGGCAACTCCCTCCTGGCTGCCGGCCAACCAAAGTACACCAGAGCAATTTATACCTTTCCAAAATGCAAATAATTCAAATTACAGACATAACACAAAGCTGAAGCAGACACATTTCAGGCATTCCCGTTAAAGTTTACTCTCTGGAATTACCGTACCCAAATGGGCAGTTGTTATACTGGGAGGTGGGGAGACAGAGACAGGAGAGGAAGGAGAGGAGGAGGCAGAGAGGAAAAGGGAGAAGGGAGAAAACGTTTTTTCCAAAGGTCTTATTTCATTCCTTTTCATTTTGCTATTTACTTTTACCAAGTCATAAGTGTCTTCTCCAAACCAAATGCCTGGCTTTGTCTTGGCGTTTTTAAGATTTATACTGCAATATTTTGAACAGAAAGACATCTCTTTAAATAGCTAAAAACTTGTCTTAAGGTGTTATACGGGGTTTATTTTGTGTATTTTTATTTTTTTTTTTTTACAAAAGTGAAATAAAATCAAAACATCCACGCACAGAACCGCAGGGCAAAAGCCCTGTGGAGTCCCCGGAGGAGTGTCCTGCTCCCCCAGTGCCAGCGGCAGCAGCAGCTGACCTGACAAAGCTAAGGCTTCATCGGGGGACCCGTGCCAAGGGCTGGAGGTGCAGCCCTCAAATCCCTCTGAAGAGGCAGCGCAGGAGCGCAGCAGTGCTGGGGGAGCGAGGAACCCCCCATTCCACACAGGCTCCCTGACAACGCCCGGGCTGGGCGCTGCACTGACAGGTGGCCACTAGCGCTGCCACCAGCTGAAGACACCGGGTTTTGTCAGGAAGCCTGATATTTACAGATGGATCGCTGCTATTTATATCCATCCTTGCTTTGGGTGTTTTTTTTTTTTTTTTTTTTTTTTTTTCTGGCGCTGTGTCACTCGGAGCACCTGGGATTGCTAATGACAAAAATACCGCGAACCTACCGCGTTATGTGGGGTAGGATTTTCAGCTTTGCAAAGCATAAACACCCTGTTTTAACATGCAGCGGCTCAATGCTGAATGGGTCTTTGTAGTCTGCTCTTATCAACCACTGCTCCAGCGTTAAAGGAAACTGCGCACAAGTCCAGAAGTAAAAATACTCTAATTCATCAGGGAATTCCCTGCAGTATGAGTCACTAAGCGGCTTCCCCACCACACCCAGCTACAAGATTTCCACATAAAAAGGCACTGTAGAGGCCTGTTTTAACACAGAAGCAGCGCTAAAAAGTAGTTGTGTAAATCCAGCGGCATCAGTTATTCGCACATAAAGCCTATCAGACCACAACATATGGATTTTCTTCATGGAAGAGCAACACAAAGAGCTGTAATGACTTTCCACAGAAATTTTTCTACTGTCTTCCCCTCCTCGTTGCCCATCAGGGCACATCCCCCAGGGCTTCCAGGGCTGGGTTTACCTTCGTACCCCAGGGAACTGCAAGCATAGTGCCAGGGGTTCACAGGCTCACAACAGTCAAACCACCAACGTAACTTTCATTACAGACCCATGGATGCCAGAAAGGGGAAAGAATATACAGTACCAAAAAACCCCAAGCCTTGAAACTCAGGAGGGTATAACATCTGGCAACCACTTAAACCTTGCCTCTATGAAATGGGCATAATGGGAGCATTCAGATACATTTAAGTAATTTCACTTCACTATAGGAGGTTAAAACAGTCTATATTCTTTAGTAGTCCTCTGTTCACTTGCGATATGAGAAGAATAGACTTTATCTAGGATTTCACTGCCTGTACACAGCATACATTTTATACTCTTGCAGCCTGCGGCTCAACAGTTTGCACTGTCTGGACTGTAAATCTGTATTTACATTCATATATTGCAAGTAAGATGGTGAAGCTAGCTCTACCCTCCCAAAGGAACCCACTACTTGATTAATGTATTGTGAGATTACCCTGAACAATAATGCCTGTATTACATCCCAGATTCATTTAACATGTGCACAACAGGCAGGGTGCAGATGCAATGCAGAATGATCATACAGTGTAATTTTCAGGTACTCTGCAAAGGTTGTCTACCTTCCTATTCTGCCTTGTCAATGTATATTCAAATCCCTCAGGAGCGAAGGATTTACAAGTTTTCAATTTGCACCCTAACCCCTTTTCCCTGGGAATACACTCACAGTGCTGAGAGGACTGATCCGTGAAAGGATGGCTTTCCAGGGAGAGAAGAGATGAAGACTAAGGCAAAGTCTTGTCATTCAGACTTAAGAGTCATCCAGTTTTGTGCAGAGATTCTATCAGCTTTCAGGCCAGGTCTACACCTTGTCTGG